TGCTAGGTTTCATAATGAGAACTTGTCGTGAATTCAAAAACATACAGACACTTCGTACCCTTTATATGTCATATGTCAATAGTGTTTTGAGTTATGGTTCCTTAATATGGAACCCTGGTTACGATATTTATATAAATAAACTCGAACGGATACAGATCATAGATTACGTCAATAAAAAATGCTTTCCATCCAACCCCAGCAACCGTACCTATGTTCGAAGTGAGCTGAACTTATCATCACTAGCGCATATAAGGAACATTTCAGACGTGGAATTCCTTTATAAAGTCATAAATAATTCAGTTGATTCGTCTGCTATCCTCAGTAATAGTTATCTTACAGCTCCTACTTATATTACTAGGAAGCATCACATTTTTAGTTATGAACAATCTCAAACAAATTATTTTGTGAACTCTCCAATCCATAGATGCAAAATATTATACAACACGCTGTCAAATTCTATTGATATTGATATTTTCTTTTACTCACTTTCCAAATTCTCTTACATTTTGAAAAAACATTCCCTTGCTTCACCAACCTGATTTTGATATGTTTTAATTTGTACTGAATAAAATTATTTCACCTTTGTTTGTATCAACACACTACAATCACTACATGTTGTACCTACTCAATCATTCATGACTTCAATTATTGATTCTTCATCATCTTTGTAATTGATATTCGATTTCTTTAGTTTAAATATCTGTATGATAAGAAATGACATATCTGTGAATACTGTTTTTGGTTTAGTCCCGTTTGTATTCATTTTCGTAAAATAAATAAATAAATAAATAAATAGAAATTTCATTCATTCATTCATTTATTCATTCATACAACCAATTGATAGATGGAAATTTGTGAATGTGAAAAAATATCATACTGATTGAATTGAATTATAATGAGTGCTGAATGCTTTGTCATTTGATTGCCAATTCAACATATCGAAATAATGATAGAACGCCCACAAATAATCCAATTCCAAGCTATTACTAAAATTGTATTTTTCGCATATGGTTTCATATAATGCATAACGGAAAATAACATTATACTACAAATATGCGAATAAATTTACTATATTTCTATGGGGAAAACGAACACCTCCCTTCGGTACCATCGTTCTTTCGGAATGACAGCGTTATCACACATCCACATACGCTTCTGATTAAATTCAAGACTATTATATCCAATATTTTTAAAATGTTTATGGTCTGGCACAAATGCACATGTGCGTGTGATTTGGCTCCACAACAGTTCCAACCACACATCACCCCCTTTGGCTTCCACCCTTCAACGAGCGGAAGAGAGACGACCTATGCAGACCGTAGGGTATAGTTCAGATCAACTGATACTTTGCCCTCATCAGAGACTCAGCCTATCAGCCTAACCCTTCTGATCTCCCGAAGGTATCATACTACCGACATGATATAGAGGGTTATAATTTGTCGCTATGCGATTTATTAATTACAGGTTTCCTTGGTGAGTAGGTTAATTTTATTAAACAGAGTGGATTCATGTGTTGTTGAACATGATCGTGACAGTTTGGGCGAGGAATGTCTATGGCGAATTGTAAATTCAATTGGTCGACATACAAAAGAACATTGAATTTTTTGTTTACTTCATCATCGTAATGTACTTGTGAGATATGCAAGTACCAGAACATTCTCTTCGATTTCACTTTCGTCTACATTCCACATATATTTTCAATGAAGAATTCTGATACAAACGAATATTGTTTGAATAATTCTGATACAAAATTTGAAAATAACAGTTGACAGTTAATACAATTGACAGATCAGACATGTCTCACTTACTGAAGCTGTGTTTAATGAACTGTGTTGCCATGGTAATGTGTTTAAGAAATCGTGTTGCCATGGTAACGTGTTTAATATTTTGAATAAATCACAGATCGTCAATCCGTGATAAATCGATCATTTAGCGTGGTAGATATCCGTACGCTAAATGCCATTTTAGTTATGTGAGTAGAAAAACAACATTTTTTTACTCTACTACTTATATCTTACAGTTTGGGGTTGAATCATAGCTTGAGAATTATACCACGAAAATGGTATCCTTCGTTTGTTAGGGAAAACATATCCGAGCTGATAAACATGACATAATTCGTAGGTATCAAAAGCAACCCATCCCTACTGTATACGATACAATATTAGCATTCACTCTTCCTTCACACTGAACCCCTCTCGATTGTCAATTTCGGATGAATGGACAGGGAAAAATGGTGGGCAATCTTTTAGAATCTTTATATTACTTTCGTTCAGACCTAAACTTATGTTCTGCCATTCGCTCTGTGAAATGTGTCCAAGATGGGATGCACGTTGAATATTTAAATGCCTGCTGTTCTGGTTTGATGCCTTCAATATATTATATTGGCCAAAAACGATATACCGCTACAATGTTCTGTTTCGTATCTGTATATCTACACATGCATTATTTAGAATCTCTCTATTTTTGAATGGCGTCTATACTTCTGAAATTACTCCAGGAAACAGTTTCATTATACATTTTCATGATTCTTGAAGACTGGGCGAGTGGATTGATAAGGAATTATTACTCCACTGCATAGTTGTTTGTTTTTTGTCGAGGTGGTTTAAATCCTTTATGGACACCATATGGGTCCAGTCCCCCATATGATAGTGTGGGACTCCCCTGACTCTAGCCAGGGTTTACCCACTAAAAACTCCACCCCGTTTGTAGGCTCGTCTGACCATGTCTCCGACGACACTTAGGCCTATGGTGTCCCATTGTATCTTACCTTCTTTATTGTGCCCACTCCATTATCTCTGTACCTCGAACAAGTCTGTACAAATCCTTCACTGGATGTGAGTTGAATACTTCTGGTTCGCCAACTGGTTGCTCAAAGATCTTCTGTCTTCTGCGGTCCAATGCCTCACATCGGCATAGTATATGTGCTACTATTTCTGGTTCCTTGCCACATAGTCTGCAGCTTGGGTCACCATTGTACAGTCCCATTCTGGTGAGATGGTCCTTTACTGGCGCATGGCCAGTCATGAGTCCCGTAACAGTTTTTATCTGTGCTCTGTTCAAGCTGAGCAGGTCTACAGTTCGTTTATGACTTGGCTCCATAATGTATTGTTTCCCATATCTGTTTCTTGGGATGTTTTCCCAGTAGCTCTTATGTTTTGCCTGAATCCAATCTTCAACTGACACTCGTGCTGTTCGTTTTGGTACTCCAAGAGTCTGTCCTGGATCTGGCTCGTTTTCCGCCCCTCTTCTTGCAAGTTTGTCAGCCTTCTCATTGCCAGCAATCCCCTGATGACCTGGCACCCAGATCAGCTTGACGCAGTTCGGGTCTGCCAGAGTTCTCAGTTACCTCTTGCGATCCCATACCAGTCGAGATGTCAGTTCCTGGCTTTCTATTGCCATAAGTGCCGCTTGAATGTCTGACATAATACGGATCTGTTCGTTTTCCACAGTTCTCCTGTTATTTTCTTCCGCACATTGGAGAATTGTGTACACCTCTGCTTGAAAAACTGAGGCATACTACCCCAATGAGTAGCTGAGGCTAGTTTCCGGATGTTTGGAGTATATTCCTGCTCCTGACCCATTCGCAGTCTCGGACCCGTCTGTATACCAGATCTTTCCCTGCAGTATGGTGCTGAGTTCTCCGTCATTCCATTCAGATCTGTCTGGCATGAACATATATGTCCTGTTCCTATGTTAACATTGTCCAGTGTATTTTGCAGTCTTAAGGCACCAAGTCTCGCCTCTCCCTGTACCATCAAGTGGAGGGAAGGCAGATCCAGTAGTGTTTCTATGGCTGCGGTTGGCGTTGACCTCATAGTCCCCGTGATTCCTAGACATGCAAGTCTTTGTATCTTGCTCAGTCTTGTTATGGCTCCTCTTTGTAGTGTATTCTGTCACCATACCAGAGAGGCATATGTTATGCATAGATCTATATTATGGAAGGCATCACCACCCTGTTATACAACCAGTACCTACAGCATGTTTGGTCTCAGTCCCCATTTCTTCCCACAAGAGCGTCTAGTCATCATCAGTGACGTTACCGCTTTTTTGGTTGTCTTTTCCAGTTGTTGATTCCAAGTCAATTTCAGATCTAATATCACCCCGAGGTATTCGACCACTGTATAGTTAGGAATCTGAGTTAATTTCAGCAATACTCCTCACTTTTTTTATGTAAATAATGAATCTATGCGTTGTTCAAAATTGTTGGACTTCAGAGCTCACTTCAAACGAATCTTCATGGCCGCCATTTGGCGATACGTCGAATAAATGGTGACGTCAATTTTTATGCTGTTTCGTTATTGGTCAGACAGTCTTCCATTCCTACTCATGAAGCAAGGTTGTCAAGTCACCAATAATAATCAAGTTATCAAAAAGATGTTAGAGTCTTGTCGTTGAATAAAACATAATAGGAGGAACTCATGATATTATAGTTCATTCTTGACATAACAGAAATCATGTCAATGTTGGAGACTTGGCAACATTGTGCTGAATGCTAAGAACTGACAAGACCACGCCCACAAGTCGTGCGAAGTGTTGTCACGTTCACCGATTCAAATGTCCTCTAGTGTAAATTAATATAAATATCATTTACACTAAAGTATTATAAGCAATAATAGGAAATAAAAAAAATAGTTCACTCGCCTATTAGTGTCTATCTTGGTCATCGTAAAAAATAACTCTCATTATTGATATATCATACAAATTATAAGGTTTCTCATGCCATTTACATACTTGAAAAAAAAATTTGCCATATCCGATATCAATCTAATGTACTGCAACAAAATCTGTTTCGAATCCTCTGAAATACAGGCGTAGGGTTGATTTACATCAGAATGGCGAACTATTGCACAGGTAATTGTTTATTGCGTTCAATTCATGCAATAGCTGAATGCAATATGCCGAGAATGTACACGCTTGAATGCCCACATTAATCAATTGATATTTATGCAGCTATCTCCGAGGGTGATTACACACCGGCATACTGAAACAATTTCTAAAGGGTCTTTGTAGATTTTATTGATATCTTTAAAACACACCCAACCACTTTTTGATAGCATTCACATGAAATTTTCTGGCATCTTTGACGTAGCGCGTATCTGCTGGATGGGATCCTCGCAAATCCACATGGTGAGCACCGTCGGTTATATTCACAGCCCAAACTTTAGAAGAAATATTCCCCAAGACCCCACCACAAGACCACGGATCATCCAATCCATTGCTGAACACTATATTAGAAAAATACCTCAGGTTCTTGCCTCCGTACTCTTGTATGGCCCACGTTGGTCTGGAAACAACAGCACCGTAACTTGCCTGGCAGGTCTCAGAGTGCTTCTTCATATCCCATGCGCTATTTTCAAACATATCTTTATCGGTAGAACACATCGGCATTATCAGCTCAGTACAAGTCTGGTAGTTCCAAGCTCTTTCTCCTAAGTCATCGGAGGTAGAGTTGATGTTGTTACACTTATTCTTACCGGTATAGTTAGTATAAATGGTCAAGGCATCCGATAAGTTTTCTAGCAAGCTCTTGCTATCACTTGCATTCAAACTAGTCAACTTGTCACAAAACAGCTTCACCGAGTACGCAGGAAGAGGCGTGATAAAGTCAGTGGGATAATGGTAGTTAGTCATGGCCATATTGACATAGATATCTGACACCCAATCGATCAGCTTATCCGTGTCTGAAGACGTTTTCAGCGTGCTGCAAAGATTCCAAGCGGAAGATAAATAGTCTTTACCTGAAAATCAATGTTTAGAGTCATTCTACTATGCAAACCTTTTCACATGTACCTTTGCTACTGCTAGTGACGTTTCTCAGTACACTCCAAGAAGCCTTGACAATACTCGTGCAATGCTCACCTCCAAACTTCTCAAACACCTCAGTGATAATTGCGTAGAATTTCTCACATGGTACGATATCACCGAAGAACCAAATCGGAGCTGATGAGGCTATAGCTCCAAGGACTGAATGTGGATACTTCATCCGTAGCCAGGCAGCTAGCATCCCTCCATAAGAACCACCAAATGCTATGAATGGTAAGGTATCGTTTCCGATTGTTGTTGAGAAGTAGGTGTTCTTGAGATGGTCGATGATGTGTACAAAGTCAGCTAGGGCTTGCGATGTTGTGAGGTATCTCAGATGCTCTATACGGATACAAAATGAGTTCATTTATGTGCCACATGATGTTCACTGGTATCCCTTACTCATACTAACCTGGGGAAGATAGTGATAGATTTCCAAAGGGAAGAGATTCTCCGTAATATCGATGTTCAATGAAGACTATGAGAGCATTGAAGGTGGGTGCTATGTCGAAGAGGAAACCAGTGTTTTGCGCGAACATATTGATGTCACCTTCGTTTCCTGTGTAGACGAACGCTGGACCACCTTTAACGTGGTAATGGCCGTTCAGCAGGTACCTGAGCTTGAACGTGGTATTATGGAGGTAGGAGAAGTGGTCTATCGGGACATCTAGATATTTGGTTTCGAAGGAATATTCAGCATGGATGACGTGTAATGTAAAACAGATCAAAAGGGGAAATATAAGTACCATGATGCTACTGGATCTGATACTTATTATGAAATGAGACACTTTTGACAGATTCACATTGCTAATATATATCCTGCACGTCCACAACATTCCCATAGTTACGTGTTGGTGAATGAATCTTCGACTGATTAGCAACAAAATCTCTCATCACAATCTACATACGAAAATCAGTAGAAAAACAGCATAAGTTGAGGTATGATAACAGAGTCATCACGTTAAAATTTTGTATGGCGGTATTTTAGCTATACCTGATTCGAATAGGCTATCCACTTGTTTGAAAAAAACACGCTTCCATAGATCTAAAAAGAAGTAAAAAATATACTGATTACGGCTAGCATTTTCTATGTTGTGTACTGGTCACTGTGATGAAGAAATTTTAGTTTCACTTATCATGAAAAGTAATCTCAGATATTAATAAACAGTAACACCTTGTGTGTCCCTATCGAGGTCCCTATAGTATACTATAAATGTATATGAGAAAAACGAAAACATCTCAAAAAATCTTCAGAAATAAAAATTCACCTACAGACAGAATTCAAAATACTTTTCACTCATACTGATTTTCATATCATCTTGATGTATCAATTGAAACGAAACGAATAATAATGATATATAACATAATTATGTGATGAAGTCACCGTCCTGGAATAAACCTTATATACAATATGAAGGCATTTGACCTTGAACCCCAAAAAAATTCCGGCTGCGTATCCACTGAAATTACGCTCCTGGGCACTCAAGGCTATCTGTCATCCCAGACCGAGCTCGGCATTGGTACAGGAGTGTGGAAATGCCCTTATGGACTTGAGATATTTGCCGAATCAAAGGAAGTTGAACTGGTATGGGTCCCGGGTCACGAACTTGCCAGGGCCGGATCCGTGGAGCTGATTCTGGGACCGGAGCCTGTACTAGGTATAGCAAGGAGCCAAACTACGTCAGCCCTTGACGAATGGGCAGACAAGGCACTAGGAGAATACTGGAGGAATATCACAGGTTGCAGGCAGGCCAAGGAGTTCGTGGCCGGTCCGAGCAAATCAAGGATGGACTGGCTGCATGGCAGAGACTGCCAAGTACTCCGCCTCCTCATAGGAGGACACAACAGGCTAGGTAGACACCTAACACTTACGGGAATAGACGACAACCCCACTTGTCGTAGATGTGGGGAAGACGAAGATACGTCACTCCATTTTCTCGGCGTGTGCGAGGCGTATATACAGGAGGCTGAGATTTGAAATCTCTGAAGTCGACAAACTCCAACATATTAGAGTGGACGGACATACTGGCCTTTATCAGAAGGTCAGGGAGATTCGTAAAGAAAATCTAGGTGAAGGAAGCGTAGATATGTGGAGAACAGGGGTTAGCAAAAAGGGCCCATCGAGGCCTACTTGCTTGGCTACAGCCTCCCCACCTACTACTACTACTACTACTACTACTACTACGCTCCTGGGCTTGAGCCTCCTCGAAATTGGAGAAAAAACTACGCCACTGATTAATGGGCAGTTTTTATGAATTTTTGTTATAAAAAAATTGTGTATTTTGAGCCAATATTGAATAAAAATATCGTATGTTATCAGAAAAAATGCATTTTACTTTTCAATACTTTTTCGCTTACATGACAAATTTAAAAAAAGTTGGTTTGATATTTGGGCCAACTTCACTGAGACAGGGCTCGTATAAGCGTTTTTTTTTATCGCTTGGAGCGCACGAAAGGGAATCCCTATAATGTTCAAAGAATATCGTGCGTTCCTAGAGAGGATAGGGACAGGAGGTGGGTATTGGAATTTTTTTGAACTTTTGGAGATTATATGTTGTTGAGAATACTGCCACAGGCAATGAATCCCAGAGCCTAGCCGTTCTATGGATGAAGGAGTCTTGATAAAGTGCTGATCGACATCTTTCGAGGTTGACAACGAAAGGATGTGCTGACTGGGCTTGTCTAGTTCGTCTGATTGGTATTGCTAATGAAGGGATGATAGCAGAGATTTCCGAAGAACATTTCCCGTTAATTTCATACCTGTTGGCCACTCCAAATTTTCCATCACTTGTGTTCATGCGACATAGCGATCGCTAGAGGTCCCAATATCCAGAATCAGAACGAAGACAGTAGCGAAGAGTATTTCCGTGCGGCATTAATTCAATCCAATAAACGTTAATTACTCCGGGCAGTGCACCGGAATTCGTGAGTAAGGATGGCGTCGGGACGCTCAGGCTGAAGCAGAGGTGCGAGGGGGTAGGAGAACGGGTGATTAACTGCCGAGTCAGTGTGAAATCAGTCCGCCAAATTAAATCCCGTCTCAGATTATTACATACCTCAGTGACTGTTCATAAATATCCGTCCGATGCGGTGTCCTGGTATATAGGGGGATATTGGGAGCACTATACATATATTCATGCCTGGTGGTGACCAATGATCTAATAATATTAAACTCCTAGATCGTCCAAAGTGAGAGAGGAATTGAAGACAATATTAGAGTGAGACGTGAGTCACAACGAAATCATCTGATGGTTGTGTACACAAATTATGAACATATAGGAGTTTTTGAAATAAGTGCAAATATTTCAAACACTGAGAAAGCTCGACGTGAACTATCGACTGGCACTAATAAAAAACATTTACGGATCGAAATAAAATTTGAGGTTATATGTATAGACCCGTTTTTACAGCCAAAGTCCCACACTGTAGCAAATCTGACGTCACCTTTCTTCAAATTTCCATGCGGTAGGCACAATCTCGCGGAGTTCAATCATTTAAATTGTTTTAAAGTGGCGTATTCGATTTTTTTCTCGTATTTTGTTAAATTTTTGGGATGAAATTTCTCGTTAGTTGAAAAAATTATAGAAAATCTGATATCATGGGAATATTCCTCAGACTATATCATATTATTGATTTGCTGAATATGTGCACCTATTTCAAAAACATCTTGTATACATGAAGAAATAAATTGAGAAAACAACTACTTTCCTAGCTATATGCCACGACGAACATTGAATCATATCTATTGAACACAGGCATGTTATTTCTTTCTGGAATAGAGAGTGTCAAAGTATGATTCTTTTTTTTGAATAAATTACAAAATAATCGTGATATTCGATTGATATATCAAATTTCACTCGAATGTCATGTTTATTTTTGAATGTATTCACAAAAAACTGAAATAACAATCAAAATTTGACACTCTCTATCTCAGAAACGAATTTGCGGACATATGTTTATACGAACTTCCATTCTCATTTTGACGTCAGCAACATGCGCCTAAACCAAGAAATTTCGTTACCTCATAATTTCACATGAATAAGTCATCACTTCTATAACATTACTTCTAATTTGAATTCGAAGGAGCCCAAGATTGTTAAATATTAAAGTCATTTTCTATTCCATACGAACATGCTGAATTTTTAAAAAATATTCAGATTGGTATTATCAATAATATAAATCAGAAAACAGATTAGTCCAAGAGCTGACCCTTGAGGAACTCCCCGTATAATTTTTTGTTGAATTGAGGAATCTCCATTTACTAATACTCTTTGTACTCGCCTAGTGAGATAGAACCGGAACCATTTCAAAACCTTATGTGTTCTTTACGGAAATCTATCACCAACATGGTGTTATTACCAATAAGCTATTAGCAAGAAATTGAAAATTGGAAATGTTTGTCCCCGTTTTTAATCATCCATCACAGCACTCCCAATGTCAATCATCGATCCATAATCTCCACCTCTTATTTGCTTTAGCACGTAATTGAAGCCACCAATCAAACCACAAGTTGTTACCGAGGCTAAATTGAAGTAGGTAGCGAATTGTTTGCTCCACTCCATCACGGCCACAAGTTAGCTAGATATATTATATAAACTTATCGCCACTGGACACGGAACATCAATTTCCTTCTCGGTTCCTTGAAGACCTGATTACCACAACTGTAACACAATGAAGTCATTGCTTCATCAGGTAAGGAAATGAAATTGAGGACATACAATGTACCTCATTGTTTTATCGGTTACAGTTAAGAAACAGCAATTTCTTGTAGTATAGCTATATAAAAAAATGATTGTGGTTCTTTATTGTTCTTTCAATAGACTCTTTTCTAATGTTCCATCTGAGATAACTAAAGGCGTTAAGGCTGACAATTGTTTGAAATATCTCTTCGATAATAATCATATTAATTCACACTAGAGGACATTTGAACCGGTAAACGCTCGGGTAAACGTGACAACAACGGCGCACGAATTGTGGGCGTGGTCTTGTCACTTCTCAGCATTCAGCACAATGTTGGAGTAACCGAATGCCAATAATTCTCTTCGAATATTTCAATATTCTTGATAGATTGCTGGTTGGCACATTGAGAGGATCATGACACATGAACATCATCTTATCCCATCGACTATTTCACTCATCACATATAATCTGACCAATCACAAGCCAGAGGCAAGTTGTGTTTTCGCGAAAACACTATTTATCTTTCAATTCGGATTGGTCTAATATCAGCATTGGTGTTCTCAACGATGTAACCATAGATAGCGAAGCGAAGTATTCCAGTTTGGCATGAAAAAATTAATTAGACTCGTTCATCCAACGAACAGCGAGACTCTGGAACACATTGCCAAGGGAGGTGTTCCCCGAGGCATATAACCTCGAGAAATGTAAAGAGAACACTAATTCCTACCTTATTTCCCTTGGTTCTCACGATGTTTTCTGAACATTACAGGATGTCCCTTTTCGTGGGAACCAGAACATAAAAAGAAAAAAAATTGCCAGAATAAATCGCTCATTTATGATTAGTGCTGTTTATGCTTCGTGAACGTGAAATAGTCTAGCAACATACCACTCTGTTCTGAATATCTTCCCATGATTCTGTCTTTCATTGTTTACTCAGTTGTGTTGTCGTACAGCCTCACAATGTCGTGAATGATGAAGCGACAGAATTATCTATAATATTCAGTACATCATGATATTACTCATGAATACAGTTTTAGTAGGCAGTTCGCCATTAAACAGATTTCGAAAAATCCTTCAATTCTTTCGTATATCTTACTACCTGTATTAAGTAACTCATACAATGTAGGGGACATTACTTAGCGTTGACCAGTTTATTATACACATACATAGTATCAGGCAATCACGTAATGAAAATGAGCGGCATCCATCGGAACCCAACACCAATCAGTTATTATTAGATAATCTCGATAATGTGTCAACACGCCCCCAATCAATTCCAGCTAAAATGACGGTCCCAACTTCATCAGATCATATTCCAGGAAGGTCTAAATTATTTTGTGGACAATTAAATTTCGAACTAGATCAAATGAGGGCTAACGCCTTCATTAGAAATAAATAACCTTTATTAATTTCAGTTTTGAATTCGTTGAGAGTCGTTTTTAAATAAAATTGTAACGTACTCTGAATGTGTTGTTGAATATTCAACATACTTCAGTTTTAATTACGCGAGTAAACTTCTGATTGCATACCAATAATTCCGAAAAATCCAAGAAGATATTCACGAAACCAATTCGATCCGAGGAGAAATGAGAATTTATATTGGAAACTGAAGAAACTTTCAGTTGTTTTACCAAAAAGTTATTGGTTTGATGGTCTACCTTGGGTTTGGTCCCTACAAGATTTAAAGAAGAAGCACTGTTCACCTTCATTGGACCTGTATATATGAAACAGTGAGTAGGAGTAGGTATCTTCAACTTCTCCTCCTGTGAAACAAACCATGGAATTGAGGTTGTTTTTCTCTTTATGTTCCCCTTTAATTATTGAATTCCTATAGCTACCAGGTACATCTCAATTTGTTGACGAATTCCTAATTATTCAAAAACTCCACAATACACGTCATCTGATCAGCAAGGCGACAGCGTGCAGGTCTTGATCTGAGCCTCCTTGTCTCCCGAGGCACAAGCCTTGGAGATGCAGTGCCTCCATCGAGTCATCTTTCCCACCCCGCAGGACACGCTGCAGGGGGACCATTTGCCCCAATGGTCCCACATTTTGGCGTCCTTCCTGGACCGCTCGTTCTCCACTATGACGTCATCGAAATAGAGGACCTCGTCAAGGGGTTCCTCTTCGGTCCGGCCTGCTGGTTTGCCTGATTTCGGTATCTTGGACGGTGAGAAGGTGGTGTAGGCTTGTGGATGGTTGTCGGCGTTTTCCGCGCTGGTTGAGGAAGCGATGATGAAGATGAGGAGAAGGTAAGATAACGTTGACATGACCATTACTGACGTGGATGTCAATAAAGCTAAAATTATAGGTTGCGTGCAAGAACTGTCAGATGACCGACACTGGAGGCAAAATATTGAAACACAAACGTCACTTTAGTAGTAGTTTTTCACAATTATTTTGGCATACGAATCGTATTTTTCCGCTATTCATCAATTCGCTCATGCCATCACATTATGCTGTTGTGAAATGCACAAAAACTGCAGCGGAAGACGAACTAATCCGGTTGGTACAATATGATTCAAAAGTAAGTACCTACTATAGTCACTCACATATAGTTTTCATTTTTGAAATTTGCTTATTTCGCAATAGGAGCTAATAGAAATATACCTGAAATTTCTAGAGCAAGAAGATTGGATTCTTGCAATCAATCGGGAGGACTGGTCTGACATGCTGACGATCGTGTGTGTTGTAGACATTTTCAATCTATTAGCAGTATTAGCTTGTATTGCAGAAGTGGCAGAAGGCAGAAGGAATTTTAATAAGGAATGACAACATTTCATTATGATAACTATGTGAGATTACTATTTACCTGAAAAATCATATTCCCTAGTCTCTTGCTGCATTTTTTGTGCATTGTACAACAGCACAATGCGAAGGCATGCTTGAATTAATGAATAACGCAAGAAACACGATTCGTATACCAAAATATTGTGAAAAACTATTTCAATCATTTGATTCCTCTGTAACCAAATAAAAAAGTGAGGTTGTGTTTCAATAATTTACAGAAGAATGAGGTTGTGTTTCAATATTTTGCCTCCAGGGTCGGTCATCGTGCACGTGACCTATTGTCCACCAGGGTTGGTAGAACTGGTAAATATACTTCTTATGTTAGTGTCATTTGGCCTTTTGCTATGATATTTTCTCCTCCGTCAATGTAACAATTGGCCGTGAGGTTCCACATTGAGAGTAAAAAATGTAAAACGACTCACGTCTTTCGATAACTTGAATAGCTATTAGGGCTATCCGGCAAAATGTTGGTATTTTTGACTTGGACATGGACCTCACGTTTTAGTAGCTCCAACTTGTGAGAGTGAAAATTTTAGCCCTCATTGCTCGAGATCAATCAACACAACAGTATAATATCGTTTATTTACAACCATCATATTTCGATTTAAATTGATAAATCTCTATTTCGTTCTGAACATACCTAAAATATCACATAAGTGAGGGCGGGAAGTGAGGGCAGGAAATGAGGACGGGAAGTGAGGACAGGAAGTAGTGAGGGAGGGAAGTGAGGGCGTGAAGTAGAGGTGTGTTATGTGACACTTCCCAACCTACAATGACGTTAGTAATGACAACTTTACATATATGGTTGTAAGTAAAATAGTATACATACATCGGTAGGAAGTTTCATTCCTGTCTCGAGATTATAAAGTTGAAAGCTATGTTGATGCAATGTTGAAGCAATAACTGAAACGGACGTTTAGCAATATTGCAAAGGTGAAGTTTGATAATGTAGCGTTGCAGCAATATTACATGTTGCTGTGACATTGCTAGAACGTTACATTTACAAATTTACATTTGCAATATTGCTGAACGTCCGTTTCAGTATTTGCTACAACCTTGCATCAACATAGCTTCCAAATTTGTTTAGATCTTATCTCGACACTTTGCGTCTCGGTTAATTAATCTCACGACAGGAATGAATCTCCTCCCACCCCGGTGTGTAATACTATTTCTACTTGGCTTACACTGGTGAGTGCAGTAACAGTGTGATAAGTTGTTTCACTGAACATTTTTAGTTAACATTTTATCAGAGGTCAATCATCCACTCGCAAATATAGTTCGATGAATTTGCAAGCAATTTGCATATATGCAGTATGATCTGAAAATTTCATGGATAAATATTCATTGGCAAACAAGATAAAACAACCTTAGCCAACAAAAAAATTGGAGTTGTTGGCACGAATTCGAAGAATATGCAGAAGAAAATGATCGTAAAATGATTCCAAACCGATCTAAACACAATGCTTAATTGGCAATATCTCCTATAAACGGAGGAAAGGTCTTAACTTATGTCGATAAATAATCCGAGAACCTTACATTCATTCACAATCACCCTACATAGCAACAATGTTAGTGTTAAACAAATGATGAGTGAATGTATCATTATTTTACATTTTTGTTTATGTTCAGTGATGAATTATTAGTCATACAATTTTTCGAGGCATCCGAAATATCTTCATTAATTTCATGTCATCCATAAAAAGAAGCTTCTTCGATCGAATTGAGACAGAAATGTCATTAATAAACAAGAGAAAGAGCTGTGGCCTGGATTTGGATCCCTGAGGTACCCCACCATTCGCAGTAAATTTTAAACTCCTCTCACTTTATATTCACTGCCTCAACTTGCTCCATTTTCGAGATACAGAGTGTTGAAGTTGGAAGTATTGATTGTTTTTCATGATCCTCCTGTATATATAAGCATTGGGGGTCTTAGGACCTCCTTGAAATTTTGAGTCAAATAGAATTTTTATTGTTTTATCCATAACAAAAGTAACATGAAAGACAAGGAAGTTGCATTTTCAATTGTCCAATCTAATCAAAAAATGCAACTTCGAAAAACCATTGGCATACACAATGATATTCACCATAAATATCTATAAGGTAACCCACTGCAACGCCACTGAAATTATTAATTTAAAATCTAATCACACCAAATGAAACTCCATGTTACAGTTAACAAAACCACCAATTGACAAAAAGACTTTCGAGTTATTAAAGTAACATTCTAGAATGAGATTTGGAAGTTTCGGAGAAATTCCATATTGTCCAGGTATTCTCCCGAAAATAGTCCACCTGTTTTTCATCGTTTCAATCCATCAAGTTAATTATACAAGATTTTTGGGGGTCAATACTGATAATATGCTATCCTGGAATAATCATATTGATAGTGTTAAACTAAAGCTTAGTAAACATATATATCTACTTCGTCAATTGATACAAACAGTTTCTTTCGATGTTCTCAAACTTCTATATCACAGTTTGATCCAATTTGTCATAGCTTATGGTCAAGATCTAGAACAATGAGGTTTATCTGCCAAATCTCCGGAAGTTTTTATCATACAGAAAAAAGCAATAAGAATTATGGCAGGTGCATCGATCAGAGATTATTGCAGGCCATTATTCATACATTATGATATTTTAACAATGCCCAGTTCGTATATCTATCTAACTTCAATATATATCAGGAATAAGTTTTCAAGTATACTTACCCAAAAATGAACAAATTCATGATCATTCCACTAGGAATTGTAATCAATCGCATCTACCTCGTCGTAGATTGTCAGTATCTATGGAGTATGGAGTTTAGCTGTATAATCTCAGTGAAGACATTAAATTGTCTTCAAATCTCAATCTGTTCAAAAGACAACTCAAATCATTTTTATTGCAAAAAGCATATTACTCAGTTGGTGAATTCCTCCTGGAATCATGATGCTGTGAGTAAATTATTCTAATGATCAGATTATTTTAATGATACTTCAAATCAAAATCAAATGTTCAATGTTGTTTGTAAATATATTTGTCTAGTATATCATTGATGTTTCATACCCATTCTCAATTTCTTTTTTTCAAGTTGATGGTTAGTGTTAATAATGAGTATTGTTAAAAGTCTTATATATTCATTTTTCATTGTATGACCTGTTGAATTAGCTAGTATTTTAAAATGATGTTATGATTCTTTTCTGATTTTTGTTGTAGAAGAAAATTCATTCAATGAAAGTTTGATTGATTGGTTCAATAAATTTTAGAAATATCGAGCAAAAGTACAGAGGTTGGTGAAGTGAGTGTACATACCTACCCAATAATAATAATCGTATTCAAGCCCTTGCATAAACACCCCCTGCAAACACAATTTGTAATGGTGCAAGCAGCTTTCAGTTCACACCACGCACAATGGTCCTGTGATTGCCGAAGGATAATCCCGGCTTACAACCACGATTGACAGGATCTATGACATTTCACCACAACATGAGGGAAACTATGCCGCTGCAGGCTGTTTAGTCAAGTTTGTGTGCGATACCATATGGGGTGCAATGTTTCGAAGAACGAAAAGCATGATACTTCAACAGATATCTATGTTGGTGTACCCATTCGAAGAAATAACACATTCATGCAAAAAACAGAACTTTATTGAACTATATTCAGTGGAAAAAGAAGTTCTTTATTGCACTTAGTGCAATAAAGTTTTTATTGCACTCATCTGTCATTCTACTTCAACGTGCTGTCATCATGACAAACATTTTCTATGATGCAACTGTGGTTATAGAAACGTCAGTCAAAAATTAATTCTGACAATTAACAGAATTGTACCTAGTGCCGCACCTCAATAAATCATTTTTTGCTTTTTGCATGAACGTAGAAAAAATGTTGTATGCAACTCATGCAAAAATTGTTTATTGCATTCGACGTGAAATTGTCCGACGAGGCCGTGAATAAACATTCACTTTTTGCACTTGTTGCATGAATAACTATTGTTTTATATTCTTACACCAATTTTCATTCTCTCAGTATCTTTGAACGTAGAAAAAATGTTGTATGCAACTCATGCAAAAATTGTTTATTGCATTCGACGTGAAATTGTCCGACGAGGCCGTGAATAAACATTCACTTTTTGCACTTGTTGCATGAATAACTATTGTTTTATATTCTTACACCAATTTTCATTCTCTCAGTATCTTTTTAATTTAATTTTTCGGTCAAGCCGTTTAGTGGTTGACGTACAGACAGCAGCGCCACCTACCGCAGGAAAACGCGTGACGTAATCATCCAAAAAAATTCGACATAGCTATTCAATATTTCTGAAACACAAGTGCAAGAATATTTCGGATCGTCATTTCAATCAAAATATGAAAAGAGATCGCCTCCTCACAAGGTGCTCGCACTAGACTCTAGTGAATTCCCTGGCCTGAATACTTACTGCAGATAACAGAGAGAATACAACACACAACTGAAGAATCGGACAATAAGAGGATTATCTTCGAATATTCGCATCTTGACTAGATGAAACAAGGATCTGAAGATG